TGTGGTGTTCGATGAAATAAAAGAAAAAGCATCCGACGTATCAAATAAACTGCCTAGTCAAGATGAAGTCAAGCAAATATTCAACGAAATAAAAGACAAAATAAATGTTGTGTTCGATGAAATAAAAGAAAAAGCATCCGACGTATCAAATAAACTGCCTAGTCAAGATGAAGTCAAGCAAAAATTCAACGAAATATTCAATGAAATAAGAGACAAAATAAATGTTGTGTTCGATGAAATAAAAGAAAAAGCGTCCGACGTATTAAATAATCTATTCAGTCAAGTCAAGCAAAAATTCAACGAAATAAAAGAGAATTTCCCTTCGTTGAGCGAAATCAAAGAAAAAATAACCGAATGCTGGGATCGTACCGATAATTTCGTAACTGAACACGATATACTTAGTTCCCTAGCAATCAGCGCCGCTTCTGTAGTAGCTGCGAAAACCACTTTTTTCTCTGTACTCTCAAGTTTAGGATTTACCTCTAATGGAGTAGCGACTGGTAGTGTCGCAAGTTCTTGGATGAGCACGTTTCTTGGATCTGTGCCGGCTGAGAGTCTCTTTGCTTCGTTACAAAGCGCTGGAGCTACAGGCGCGGTAGGATTAATTGGTGGATCTGTTTTGGTTGGTGTAGTTGTGATTGTTTTTGCTGGTAGCTATTTAGCACTTAATAGTTGACGAGTGAATATCCCGTGGCTGTGTTACAAAAGAGCGTAGGATTAACTGGTTTTTGTTGATGTATAGTCTTTCAAGAAATAGTGGAAGTAAATTAGTAGTTTATAAAAATTGTTTCTTATAATAATTAGTATTATAGTATTATAGTAAATTACTTGTAACAAATTGTTTGTAGTAATGTTCACAAAAAATCTCGTTCATTTGAGCTCAAACCTGAACTGGATTTGAACTTGAACTCAAACTCAAAATTTTGATCTGGTTTGAGATTGATTCTAAATGTGATAGTAAAAATTGTAGTCCTAAATAAGAATTGCAATTTTGTTTACTAAATATAAATATGGGCTAGTGCAAAAAGATTGGTATATCAATATAAAAATTAATAATTGCTTCTAATAAAAATCATTCAAATTTTAACTAATCTTTATAATTTTTTTATATTA